CTAACTAACTGCAGATAAACATAATCAAATATTGGATAAATATCTCATTTTAAATATAAAAAATCTAAAATATAATTATGATAATCATTGATAACTAACATAATTTAATTAAGAAAATTACACCAAAACACAAGAACTTTTAAAAAGATTAATTTAATAATAATATTGATATTTTTTTCATTTTAAATTTATATTTTATTCAAAAACAAAAATATTATCATCTTCTCAAAACCACATAAAACCAATGTTTACTTAAAATTAAAGATTACAAGTAAATTATGCAAATGTACAACTTATCAAAGTTCGATTTTTGAATTCGATTTTTGTCAAAAATTTTATAATATAGTATAGATATACTATAAGAGTACTCGCGGAATACAGCGAGACACATTTCAATTTTAATGTTTTATTTTATTATTTGTCTCTGTCGATGTTATAATACGATTTTATGTGTTTTTAAGAAAACATTAATAATTTTATTTTTGAATAAAATATAAATGTGAAGATATCATAAAAAATTTGAAAAAATATATATCAATGTTAATATCAAATCAACTATTTAAAAGTTTTTATTTTTTATTATAATTTAATTTAAGTTTAATAAGAAAATAATTTATTCTTGGTTTAATAATATAACATTTCATAAAGATAATAATTAAGTATTCTATTAGAACTCAATGATTATTCTAATTATATTTTATATATTTTATATTTAAAATAATATGTTTATCCTGTATTTGATTATGGTTATCTGCAGTTTGTTACACAAATTCAGATATGAAGTTTTAATAAGTTGTATTTACGCACAATATACTTGTAATCTTCAGTTTTAAATAATATGCATTAATATACTTTAGGCATAAAAAGTGAGTTTTAAGAGTTTTTGTCAATTGTTTTATAATACAGTGTGTGTGTATATATATATATATATATATATATATATTTATATATGCATGAGACTTGAATATAATAATATGTATTTTTTATTTGTATTTTTTGACAGTGTATAACTCACAAACTGTAAGTCAGAATAAACTCTTATTTTGCAGTTAGAAAACCCTTAGGGCGCGTTTGGTTTGAGGGATTTAGAGGGATTTGGATTTGAAATTCATTCCAATCCTACGTTTGGTTTGTAGAAATGGTCGGATTTCAAATCCCGGGATTCATTTGAAATCCCACCAACACTGGATTTGAGAATCCTTCGCCCTTACACGGGATTTGAAATCCATTCCYGTGGATTTCATCGCTGTCTCCCTCTCATCGCTTCAATCCTTCTCATCGCTTCAATCCTTCTCATCGCCGTCTCCTTCTCATCGCCGTCTCCTTCTCATCGCCGTCTCCTCTGTCTCCGTTGCCACCGCCGTCGCCCTTCGTCTCCGTTGCCACCGTCGCCGTCGCCCTTCGTCTCCGTTGCCACCGCCGTCGCCTTCGTCTCCGTTGCTCACCGTCGCCGTCGCCCTTCGTTTCCGTTGCCACCGCCGTGGCCCTTCGTCTTCGTCGGCCTTCGTCAACAGTCGCCTTCGTCTCTGTCGCCTGTCAACAGGTAAATCATTTTCCCCTTTTGGATTTCTCTCTAAACTATGAACACATATTAGGTTAAATCCTTCAATTTTGACAGATTAGGTTGAATACACATGAACACAGATTAGGTTAAATCCTTCAATTTTGACAGATTAGGTTGAATATACATGAACACATATCAGGTTAAATCCTTCAATTTTGACAGATTAGGTTGAAATCTCATGAACACAGATTAGGTTAAAAAAATTATTCGAAGTATTAGAAACCAAATCCTACAAACCAAACAGAGGAATGAATTTCAAATCCAATCCAATCCAAATCCCATGGAATCCAAATCCCTCAAGGGAATCCAAATCCCTCAAAAACATTCCCGCAAACCAAACGCACCCTTACTGTATACTACAACTTTTATGAAGGGTCGAAAAGCCAGTTATGACTCTAAGTGGTTCGAAACAATGTGTTTTCGTGACTGTTTGCACCGTATTCAGGATTAACATGTTGTTTTATAAAATTCGTATAAAATATATGGATAATCAAAATGATGTGAGTGGATTCATATATCAAAGGTAATATTGATTTTTATTAATTTAATATATAAATGTGATCAACGATTCATTTAAGCTAACTTCAATAATTTTAACAACGCGTGATGTGAGACACTAGTTTAGTATATAATATAAGATTTTGTGTCATCATTGCAGATAGTATAAATAGAGATATAGACATTTGTTTTTAAGACGGTAAATATTAACTTTTACAAAGAAAAACATGTGACATAAAGCAAACCCTCACTATTATTTGTCCTACCATACCGGTAACACAATAATTATAAAATAACTCTTGTATCATTTGGGTTGTGTTTGGTGCAAGGGACTAGACAAGACAGGACAAGATAAAACTCATTGTTCCATGTTTGGCATGACATTGGACAAGATAAAAACTCACTGTTTTATATTTGGCACAACATGAAACAGGGACAATGACTGGGTGATGGTAGGGCATGGTGGGACAAAAAAACCATTTTTCTTGTTCCATTTTTTTGTCCCACCGGTATATATGAAACAAAATGCGAAAAGTATAATAAATAAACTAAACAATTACCGATCTACTTTCATTTGATATAACTCTAACATGATATCTGTTTTAATGGGCACTACCTCCATCGCCGCCACTACCACCGCCAGTGGCCACCGACATGCATCGTTGCCCACCTCTTCCTTCACTACAACAGTCTCTTCTACCACCTTTATAACCATTGTTGGCCATCAGCTACCACTGCCCAATGCTGTCAACTAGGGGTGGCAAAGACCCAACCCAGAATTAACAGGTTCGGTTGAGATTTTCAACCCATTTAAATAAATGGGTCAACCCACCCAACCCATTTAAATAAATGGGTTGGGTTGGGTTGGATTTTTCGACCTGTTTACAACCTATTTTCAACTCATTTTCAATCTGTTTTCAACTCATTTAAATATTATATAATTTTATTTTATTCTTAATATTATATCTATTAGAGTTTTATTCTTAAATAAAAATCCTACCGTCATGAGTGAAAGTCCAAATTTCAATCGTTTCCATTACTCTTAATCATCATGAAACTCTAAGAAAACCTTTTACTCCATTATCACCTCCAAAGTGCAATCCAAATCTTCAAGTCTGTTGTCCGCCTCTCGCCCTCTCGATCTTGGCTCTCTCTCCGTGCAACGTTTTTCTTCCTCTCAGCTCTCTCTCCGTCCAACATTTTTCTAATTGTCTCCCTCTCAGTTTGCTCTCCGTCCAGGCGTCCAACATTAGTGACTCAACAGGTTCTTCGAGTCTCCATCAGACATCTATGTCCAGCCTCTCGTCGAACACACACACACACACACACACACACACTTAAATCTCAACAGTAAGTTTTATGTTTTAACACTCAATTCTTATGCATCGATAAGTAACATTATTAATATTCAACATACATTCAAATCTCACAGTTTAGTCAACAGTACCATTTCAATGATATTTTAAAAATATATGGGTCAACCCAGGTTCAATCCATTTATTAAAAGATTGGGTTAAGAAAATCGTAAACATGTCAACCCGTTGTCAGCCCATTTAGGTAACAGGTTGGGTTGGATTGAAAAATCACAACCCATTTAATTAAATGGGTTGGGTTATGTTGAAATTTTCAACCTGTTTAATAAATGGGTTGAATACGAACTCAACCCAACCTGACCCATTGTCACCCCTACCGCCAACACTACCACCAGTTACCAACACCATTGGCTACCATTACCACCATATAGGCCACGACTACCTCTTGCATCAATGTCAACCGCCACCACCACCACCACCACCACCATTGTCCACGATCTTCACTTCCTCCACAAGCATCATTATCCACTAGCCACCACCGCCTTTACCTCCACCACCATTATTTCTAAAACAACCTCCACCATCCCTAATGTCCACCATCTTCACATCATCAACAATCATTGTCGTCCACCACTGCCTCTACCTCCATTACACCAGCCATAAGTCCACAACCACCTCTTCCATAACTAGCCGCCTCCACCATCACCATTATCCATCATACTCACATCCTCAACAATCATCATCTTCACAAGCCACCGTCACCAATACCAATACATATGGTTTTGAAATATTCAGTTTAATTCTTTGTCAAATATATAAATAAGTTTCACCGATAACAAATTTCAAGAAGTTAGTAGACCAATGAACACAACCAAATCAAATGGATAAAAGATAGTTAATATAAGTATCTAAAACATATTTTAAATAAAAATAAAACATAAAATCATTGGTACAAAATTAATATAAGTTTAGGCCCACATACATAATATTGGGCCATATGTTTCTGGATAGGCCCAATGGGCCAAAACTGAAAATCCACTTTGAGCATTTAGAAGTCGTTCCAGCATACAGAAGTCTGTTGATTCGTTCCAGCATACAGAAGTCGTTCCAGCATACAGAAGTCTGTTGATTCGTAGGCGATCTTCTTCTTCACTGAAGCAATCGGGTATCATCCTCCTCCTACCTTGCTTCTCATATCAAGGTATCATCTACCTTCTGCTACTATTGTGTTATGCTCTATGTGATATCTCTGTGTGTATCTATATGTATGTATTTCACTGTTATGGGTTAAGTCCAAATTGTTTATTCGTCTACCTGGAATCGGAGGTTTAGATGCAAATCTCTTCTTCAATTTCTATCTTAATTGAGATAAAATGTTTTGATTCTCCTTCTCTGAATTCCGCACGTTTAAACAAGCAAATACATCTCTCTCTTATTTTGATTTCTTCAATTTGTATATTAGGGTTTTCTTTTGCTTTTTGCTGTTCTTGTTGATCGATTTAAATTGGATTTTGGGTTAGTTTCTTCAATTTCGGTCAGTTTCAATCCTCTGTATACGATGCATTGAACTAATTAATCTTTCTTCAATTTTTACTCTAATTTCTGCTTCTTCTCCGGCCTCCATCCTAACTAACGTCACTGCTCCTGCGTCTTCTTCTCCATTTGAGCCTTCTATTCTCAATAATTTTAGGATTCATCTCCATTTGAGAGAGACAGAGAGAGGGAGAGAGAACAACCATGGGGAAGAGGAATAAACGACAACCATGAAAAAAGAGGAAGAAAATGCATCAACGGAGAAGAGAAAGAACCACATCATTTGTCGAAAAAAGAAAAAGAAACAATTCCGCAGAGAGAGAGAGAGAGAGAATACGAGAAGATGAAAATGGGAAGGAGTTATGTTTGGTGAGAGAGAAAAAAGAAAAATATGAAATTTTAAACAATGAAAAAGTAATGAATTTTTTTTTTTCATTTTGCCTTCCAATCTAATTAAGCCTTACTTAAATAATATTACTTCCGTTTTTATTTAAAAGTATGTCATATCCATTTAGGCCCTTGATTTTTTATCCGACAGTTTTGGGCCTCTAAGCTTTTCAACAAATTATTTAGACTATAATAAATAAAAATAAATCAATAAAGGTAATAATGTAATTAGATATTATTTTAATTTTCATATTGTTTTATCCCATAATTTTATATTGAAATTTGATCACGTCAAACCTTACGTCTCCATCGTTATCTGTATCTGCATATTCGATCTTGTGATATTCACGGTTTCAGATTTCTTATTCGCTCTTGTGATATTATGTATCAACATATTCGATCTTGTCATATATATATGTGATACTCTATTGCGATGTGATAGATATGCGGCTCTGTCATATTTTTTCAATAAACAAATGATATTAGATGATGCAATCTGATAAGCGTGTGATAATCTTGTTTTCGTATTGATGTGTTATTGTTTGGAAGTACAGGTGTAGATTACCTATAAATTTTTGGATCAAAAGACAACCCAAAAATCTTAGGTGTAGCCAAGGTTTTAAAAGATGGAATCGGGATTCAAGACGTTTTCCTTCTCGATTAGGCGAGGCGTAAGCCCTGAGCCGGAAACATAAAAAACGGTATACCAAAAAGACTGTATATGCGATTGAGCTCAGTCACAGAGAACAAAGTTGTCTACAGATTTTTTAATGTACAAAAGGATCATCATGATCAACAAATCCCATTTCTTTCGCAATTTCTCTTCTCTCCCAAACCTCAAATCATGCATAACAATCCTTCAATCATCTGCACGTAACACCAACTTACAACAAGGCAAGAAACTCCATACTTACATGCTCATTAATGGCTTCCTTACCTCCCCAATCTCCATCACCAGCCTCATCAACATGTACTCCAAGTGCAACGCCATCTCCGACGCCTTTTTGGTTTTTAGTTCCTCCCCCTCAAACTGTGAACTCAACATTTTCATTTACAACGCAATCATTGCTGGGTTCATCTTCAATGACATGCCAAACCTCGCATTACGGGTCTATGAGAAAATGCGCATGTCCGGTGTTATGATGGACAAATTCACCTTCCCTTGTGTGGTTAAGGCATTTTCTGGTTGTGGGGATGTTGAGGGGTTCAAGATTGTTCATGGGTTGGTTCTTAAATCTGGTGTAGATCATGATTTGTTTGTTGGTAGTGCTATAGTTCATGGGTATCTGAAATCTGGGTTGATGGCGGATGCGCAGAAAGTGTTCAATAAAATGCCTGACCGAGATGTTGTCTTATGGAATGCCATGATTAACGGCTATGCACAAATTGGGGAATTCCATAACGCCTTGGAGTGCCTACAGAGGCTACGTGCAGAAGAGAATGTGCCAAGCAGATTCACTATGACCGGCATATTATCGGTGCTTACCTTGAAAGAGGACCTTCACAACGGAATGGCTGTCCATGGACTTGTGACAAAATTGGGGTACTTTTCAGGCATTGCAGTTTGTAATGCGTTAATCGACATGTATGGAAAATGCAAGTCCTTTCCCGATGCTTTGGATATCTTTGAACTAATGCCAATTAAGGATATATATTCATGGAATTCGATCATTGGTGTTCATCAACAATATGGTGATCATGAGGGAACTTTAAAGCTTTTTCATCGAATGTTGCGTGATGGAGTTCTTCGTCCGGATATAGTCACTGTCACCACTATTCTCCCAGCATGTTCCCATTTAGCGGCATTGAGGCATGGCAAGGAGATTCATGGGTACATGATTACAAAGGGATTAGGGAAAGATGGTGATGATACATACATCAACAATGCTGTTATGGACATGTACGACAAATGTGGAAGCATGCGAGAAGCTCAATTGGTTTTCGACCACATGATCATCAAAGATTCGGCTTCATGGAACATCATGATCATGGGTTACGCAATGCATGGGTTTGGCCACGAGGCACTGAACGTATTTTGCAAAATGTGTGATGCAAATTTGATGCCCGATGAGGTGACATTCGTTGGTGTTCTATCGGCCTGCAACCATGGAGGTCTAGTGAAAGAAGGGCAAGAATTTCTTAGCCAGATGCAATCAAGATACAATATAGTACCAACGGTCGAACATTATACTTGTGTAATTGACATGCTTGGCCGAGCTGGGCTCCTTGAGCAAGCCTATGGCTTGCTATCGGAAATGCCCATCAAGACCAACTCAGTGGTTTGGCGGGCATTCTTGGCGGCATGTCATCTCCATGGTGATGCAAATCTTGCTAAAATTGCTGCAAGARAAGTGAYTGATCTTGAACCTGAGCATTGYRGGRGCTATGTGTTGATGTCTAATGTCTATGGGATGATGGGTCGGTATCAGGAGGTGTCAGATGTGAGACATAATATGAGGCAACAGAACGTCAAGAAAACGCC